CGGCGCAGGAGGGAAAAAAGTGCCGACGGCAGGAGTTCGTCTCGTAGATAGAGGCAAAAAGATCGAACCGACTGAGGTGTTAATAATGCCGCCTCGGGAAACTCGAGAGTGTGCAGTCGTCTCCGTTTCACGGATGGCCGACATACATTCGTGTCGACTCGCAAAATGAGATATCTCGCAGAGATTCTACTTTTACCTATTAATGGAAATTATTTAATTCCTCTACGCGACTGCGAAACGTTTTAAATCTCTTACGCAGCGTTATAATTGGAGGGATCGATCGAAGGGACAGATGTTATAACTTGAGATACCACGTGAACTGTAAAAGAGAACGTTTAAAGATATGACATCGTCGTTTTGTTGGAACCAGGCAATTCTAGATACGCGATTCTGCACCATCGGACAAACGCGAGGAATCGGAGATTCGCGATTTGCAATTCGGATTTTATTTTCCGAATCGATGCCTGCTAATTGAGACGTAGATCAAAAGCTGTTGTTGCGGCTCGGCCGACGATTCTCAACCGCCGCCGCCGCGCGGTAATAAATTACTCGCGCGCTTTGTACAAGTGCGAATCGTTACGTTCGCGGGAACGAGTAAATTATCGCGGGAGCTCGCAGAACTCCCAGCCGTTCCGGTTGCGCGTAACGCGCGCGCAATTTGCGACGTTCGTCCGAACGCAATTTCCCCCGCGCGCTAACGACGCCGCGTTTTTCTTTCAACTATTGGCGTATTTTTTTAACGAGCCCCCAGGCGCGCGTAATTACGTTTCATTTTCATCCGTCGAGGGTGCCACGCCGATGCGCGGCCGATCAATTTCATGGCGTGGACTAATGAATCAAATTAATGAACGAAGCCTTATCGTCCGCGCGGTAACTGTTGCCCTACGAGTTACGATGCACCCTTCTCGCTTAACCGGCGTTCCTTCCCCGCCGCATAGTTGAAACGTATCGGGGCTTTGACTTTGGTTTTCTTCATTAAGAACGATTCCCAAGATTCATCGCCGATTATTCATTCGCCATGCAATCACGGAGTAACGTTCAATACAAGTTCCTACGATTCATCGCTCTTAATATACATCATTATTTTTATTTTTGTTTCTATAGGATTTTTTACTTTCCGCTCTTATAGGATAAATCAAAGTCAGCGGAATTTTACGAAAAGAAAGTAGCTGCCGTAGCTAAAAACTGCATGTGACAACTGAATTTCATTTGTAATAGGCTTGTTTTCTATTGCTGCACTAGTGAACTAGTGCAGTAAGCTAGAATAAAAAAATATACTTGTCTTACTCTAATTTAATGCATCAAGTTCACCAGTACAGCAATAGAAAACAAGCCTAATATGTGGACGGACAACTATCATCTTCGTTATTTTTCTTCTTCCTCGTGTTGAGAGCCTGTTTTTATCCAGCTCGTTCTGGTACTCTGAGCATTTTTGGTTTTTACTTCATCTTCGGTAGTCTGCTAACCTTGCCGAAGGGAACCTCCAGTCTGGAGCCTACACCCCTAAAGGGGTGTGTGTGGCAAGATACTCTCGGTGGTTGTCACTTTCCTCCGTATCTGAGAGGTAGCATTCAAGAAACCCTGCGGTGTCCATGACTGAATTTGAACTCGGATCTTTTCGTTCATTTGTTTGCTAAGCAGTGCACATTTCTCTGCGCCACGCACCTTCGTTGTGACAGCTAAATATTTTGCTACTGTATCTACTCTTTAAAAGTCAATCAATGGATTATCACTGAAAACGATGAATATTCACAGATTCACAGTTATAAGTATAGCTATTCATTTGTAACTGTTTTCAGTGATAGTGCACTGACGAGGGATAAACCGCTGAGGGCATTGTGGTGTACAGATTTGCGGCATTACTGGGTATTACTAGGCATCTTTTGGGCATTAGACCTTGCTGGGGCATTATAAAATAAGATAAAAAGATAAAGTAATGTCCACTCTGGACATAAAGGCCGAATCAGACTAGCAATTGTCGACGGATTGGATTGGGATTGGCGATTGTCTTCTAGCCAATGAGAGAAAAGCAACCAGCGATTTAATCGACTCTCGTTGGCTAGAGGACAATTGTCAATCGCCAATCCCAATCTGATTCGGCCTTTTGTAGGCATTGGTGTACATGATTTTGGTCAGCGATTTATCCCTCGTGCACTGATTGACTTTGAAAGAGCATGCATTAGATGCGACAGCAAACCGTTTTGCTGCAGTTTAAAAATGTATAGTTACGGCAGCAAAACGACTTTAGCAAACCATGATTAGCTGCGGCAGCGAACATTTTGTTTTCCGCGTTAGTTTTGTGAGTAATAAACAATGCCGCCAGATACGGCGGGCATCGACGGATTAAATGTTCTTCCCGAATCGATATGGGTTCGCCGCACCCTCGGACACCGAAACCTCAGACAACTCCTGCCCGCAAAGTCCAGATAAGTTGAGGGAAAAAAAAGAGGGATAAGTGTCTCTCCGACGCGAAGGACAGAGAGCCGGCCGAGACCCTCCGGCTCTTCCTCCGAGTTCTACCCGATTCGAATAATACATGGAAAATACACGGAGGCGCGTCCTTCGCATCCGCGGGCCAGAAGGCTTTGACGAGCTCGCTCGCGACGTGTCCGTCGCGGCGAACAGCCACGGAAACGAAGGATGAGCAGAATGGAACGCGTCCTCCGCTCTTCCCTCTTAAGTCGACGTTTTATTTGACTCGATTAAATTCGTCGAGAGTGGAGCGCCCCGCGCGCGCTTTCGTTTTCAGACGACCGACGGCGGGCGGGTTTGATCTCCGAGAGCCGGGCACAAAAACGGGGAGAGCGCGGCGATGGGAGAAATCGACCTGACATTCTCAGGAACCGAGCGTCCTCTCCTTCGCCTCCTCTCCTTCGGCCCTCTCGCTTCTCGCGCTGCGACTTCTTCTATCTCTGCAGAGAATTGCTTTCCCTCCCATTGTCCTGCGCGAGCGTTTCTTTCCCATTCTAGAATTCCAGCCGGTCCGCCGCGATATCCGCGCGGTCGGTTATTCGCCGCTGTACCCGGTGTCGGCGCGCCCTTCCTCCGGGCGCCCTCGACGACGGACGGCGTCGAACGTGAAGAAATTGGAGACGGAGGTCGTTTGTCTCCCGTCCGTCTCTCTCCTCTCCGTTTCATTTGGCGTTGCTCTTCGATCCCGATTTTCTTTGCCGATCTGCGTAGCGCGAGGGAATCTCGTGAAGACGGGAAGGAGGGAAGGGACGGAATGCCGGTGGAGAAAAAAAATATGTTTGGCACGCACCGTGCGTAATTGCGCGCGCACTCACCCCGCCGCGGCGCCGCTCGCAATATCGCGTATAATCTCCAAGTTATTAGCGTCGTGAATTCGCCGTGTCTAATATCCGCGACATACTTAATAGCTTACGGTTTTTCTTGCCTTCTTTCCGCCGTGCCGGCGTATACGCACGTGCGTCGTAAAATGCGGTGGCACAGAGTCCGCGAGACGCGCATCTTTGCGACGCGCCACGCGGATGACCACTCGCAGCCTCGTCATTAATGAGCATCGACACCACACGGTTATTAACCCTTCGTCCGCACACATGGACCTACGGCGTCCGAGCCAAAGTAACATACGGGCGTATGCCCTAGTAATTGTAGTGAAGATTTATAAACTGAAATGTTCAATAAATACTTTTTATCAAACTGACCGTCAATGTACAACAATTGGAAACTGTGTTTAAACAGATATTACATGTTTCAATCGGCCCACGCAAATTTTTGTGTTAATTTAACATAATATTGATATTATATGTTAAATAGCACTGATAGTATATTAATTTTTTAACACGAACTAAATGCAAACCTCAAGATAATTTAAAACAAATTTTGAGTAAAATCAACATATTTTGAACGATACAATTAATTAAAACAAGTTAGTTTTATATGTTACGGACGTGTAATAATTCAAGCTTTTATATTATAAAATAAAATAAAACATTTAAATAAAAAATGTTTTTGTAAATTTTAACAGCTACATTCTATCACTAATAATACGGAACACAAAATATCTATTGTGTAAAATTTAAAATAAGTGCGCATTGTGTCATTTTTCAGTTTTTTTTCAGTTATTTTAATAATTTAACACTTGAGTTTACCACAACAGTCGTATGTTAAATTAATATACGAACGTGTTAAGTATTCAACACAGAAATTTTTAGCGGTATGTTTTAACAAGAAAACACAGATGTTTCGTAAATTATTTAAGATTCCTTTGAATTCTTTAAGGTGAGGAAAATAGCGCCAAACGTGACAGACTCCACACCCAGAAAAAAGATTTAATTGGGTTAAACAAATGAAAAAAGTAGGAAATTGCTTGACGACGCTTGGCTGGCAAATTCTAATTAAAGACATTCATTACGATAAATATTACCTCAGCCAGGGTTTGAACCTGGACCTCCCTACACTCTAAGCGGGCGTCTCACCAATTCGACCACTGAGGCATGTAGTGCTGCTCAACGCGGCCATTTATCGCAATAAACAAATGAGATACATTGAAATCATGTTGAATCTATTAAATTTTTATTTACTTCTAATAAAACATCTGCTAGATTTGAAGAAATAGATATGAATTCTCTTCAAGATTCCAGTCTCTATCAAATAAAATTTTGGTTTAGGTAAAGAAATCGTTTTTTTTTTAAATAAAATAAAAGTCTAGTGGAATCAAAATTCAAGCAAATTTGTTTCATTTTAAACAAACTTTTTTCTGGGTACACGTGTTCGCTGAAAAGATACCAAAAGCCGTGTTCAGTTAAACGGTTAAAAAAACAAAAATAAATTCGGTACAACGTATTTTCTGATATTTCTTTCAGCAACAATAGGCATGCAGTAACGTAGTTATAGACACTCTATCAAACATTCATCTCGCTCTCCTGCCACCACTATGCATGCCCACATGTAACAATGGTAATACATCGTACACGAACGTTTGCCTCGTTAATAGCTGATCGCCGTTACGAGACATGATTCGATTTCTGTTCCAGGGATCAGCGAGGCGAGCGTGCAGCTGCAACAGCCGAAATTGCCGTCCGCGATCCGCGTGGACAGCGAGGTCGAGCTGCGATGTCACGTCGACGGTACCGGCGACATGAAATACGAGTGGTTCAAGTTGGTTGCTCTTCGTCTGTTCTAACTTCGTCCAACAATTTACCTGAAGCATCTCGCGGCGCGCCAACCGGGGCGAGGGAAAAGGCAACTAATGCCGGGGGATGCGCGATGTGCGACGCACGGGGGTGGACCGGAACGAAGGGGGGCGAATTACTAAGTTCCTGGCGTAACTGACACCCGACGTTTACGGAACTGGCCCGGTGAATTATGAAGTGGCGTTCTCCCTCGCCTCGGCGTGCACCATCGAGAGTTTCACCTCTGCCGTCACCTCGAATCATCCCCCTCGTCGTAAAGACCGAGTCATCTCCACGCGAAACGCGTTGTGTATTAGACGAAGTTTAATAACGTTGGTTGCGCTATGCCATAGTATAACTAGTATACCCACTCTGTCATTTGTTTTGTTTCGCATCGATCCTTTCTACGCATCTACCATTATTCTGGTGGAGCCAATGAGACGGATGCTGTATATATCAGAGCACTGTACATACATTTTCAAACTACCCCGCCTGTCGCTATTTTTGAGTTAGGAGAACCAAGTCAGTTAACTATGTAAGTCCGTAGGAAATGTTTTTGAGAACAGAAGGACGCACGCGTTGCAAAAGTCAAATGCTAAAGTCGCATAAAGAAAGAGACTTGGCTCGTGAGATAAACCTCTGCCTGAATTCTATATTGCGTTATAATTAACGTAGTTAATTGCATCACTTCCGTATAATTAGCGATATAATAAATGCAAAAATCCGATTGCGCGTCTGTAAGATCGGCTGTTCGTTTCACAGGAATACAGTGAGCGTGGCGCGAAGCGATCGTGTCGAGATCAAGAAGAAGAAACTGCACATACACAGAGCGGTCTCCGAGGACAGCGGTATGTACACCTGTTTCGCAAAGAACGAGGCGGGATCCTCGCCGATGACCGAGAGCTACCCGTTAATCGTTTCCGGAAATGAAACTGCGACGATTAAAGTCGTCCCGAGAAACCTGATCGCCAAGCGAGGCGAGCCGACCATTCTGCAGTGCGTCTTCGAGGACGCCGACGATGTACAGTGGTTCTTTAAGGAAATCGGCCCGCTCGAATCCGACGAGGAGCGGACGATCTTCGACAACGGTACTCTCATGATACACGCCGCCGATCAAAGGGACCAGGGATTCTATTCCTGCCATGGGATAAGGGATGAGACCACAGTCAGTTACACGGTTGAATTACAAATTGCCTGTAAGCACCAGTGAATTTTCGATAGCCCGGCGATAATAGCAACGCAAATGCAGTAGACGAAAGAGCTAATGAAATAATATAACAAGACGATAAAAACCAATAGTAGTATTAATAATGACAAGACTAAAAGCTTTTTAAACAATTAATAATACATTTAAATCACCAAAGTCTTCAGTATTTATTATAATATTAATCGACTCGAATGGTACTGTTTTGAAACGGCAAAAATAGCACGCGATTATAATTTTAATCATTACGATTACAACGTAGACTATTGTATGAAGAAAAAAAACGTAAGAAATTGAGTTCTGAGCATAAATAAAACTTGCAGATTTGCTAAATTTCTCGATGGCCGCCTTTGAACCGAAACGTCCAACTCAACTGGCGATTGTCGGAGAGGATCAAGAATTCCAAATAAGTTGCCTGGAACCCTTAGGGCTTCCTCTGCCCAAGGTTTATTGGAGAGATCCCACGGGACATATTATAAGCGATAGCGGTCCCGTGCGCGTTCAAGACAACACGCTCATCATCGCGAGGGCACGAATGGGCGAGGACGACGGCAATTACACTTGCGTGGCCGAGAATCTTGCCGGTGAAACGGATATATCCGTCCAAATAGTTATATCAAGTAGGTATACAATGTCCCCTCCCGCCGACAGAGAATTATAAGCGTAACTAAAAATGACGCGCTGGTTAATTTAAGTCAAATTCTTATCGCTTACTAATTCAGAAAAGTAAAAAATTTTGTCATTTTAATTGTTAGCCCCGCCAAGTATAATAAGTTCCCCAGAGTCGCTCAGCGTAATGGAGGGTGATTCCGTGACGCTGACTTGTTCGTATTCCGGCATGGAACCACCGGTGACGCACGTGCACTGGTTGAAGGACGGGACGCAGCTGAGGGAATCGGGCGGCCCGACGAGATACCGCGTGACCGATAATCACGGCAATGTTACGCTGCACTTCAAGAGCGTTGACCTGTCCGACAAAGGGCACTACATGTGTCAAGTATTCACTACGGGTTTCCCGTCCCTGTTTTCGGACCCGGCTGTTCTTACGGTCGAGGAAAAGCTCAAGTTCTCGCCGCAACCCGTCAATAAACGCCTGGAGCTCGGCTCCACGGCGAAGGTGTCGTGTAAGGCCCAGGGTGCCACGAACCCCACGGTGAAATGGGTCAAGGAGGGCGAGGACGAGGAATTCCCCAAACACGTTCAGGATATTAACGGCACTCTACACTTCAATGGTGTATTGGAGGAGGACAAGGGTCGATACACTTGCATTGCCAGCAACGCTCAGGGGTCCATCAATCACACAATTAGCATTGACGTAGTTAGTACGTATCGATGCTTGTACGATGAATGTAGAATGAACGATAAATCAATGTAATAATTAATTAATATAATACAAAACAAATAAATGTGCTTTCGTAGTTGCGCCAAAATTCACGGTACAACCACAAAATCCAACTGATGCAATCGAGGGATATCCGGTGATGTTACATTGCGCTGCCGAAGGCGATCCTAAACCCACTATTCAATGGGACAAAGATTCTCGTATGAACAATCTGGATAATCCTCGATTCGAGGTATTGAGTAATGGAAGTTTGTACATTAAAGAGGTGTATCTCAGTGATGAGGGCAAGTACGGATGTACCGCTGGCAATAGCGGTGGTTTAAAGCGAGAGGAAGTTCAGTTAGATGTAAAAGGTACATCTTTATCATATTATAATAATATATAATTTCTCGCATTAACTGTTTTAAATTGATTAGAAATTAATGCGATCTATTTTAAGACAATAGAATAATTATTATTGCAGCTGGAGATAATTATAGAGCCGACATGGATCTAGAGGCCACTGATGACGGTACGATGATGACTAAGACTGTAACGATCACTCTCGGCGCAGCCGCAGGGTATATGGTACTTGTCGTTGGTCTCATGTTATATTGCCGTTACCGCCGTCGCCGCAGAAAGCAGCAGTACTTGCAGGAACAAACAGAAGGTATATATTGTCAATACTACGTACGTCAATGTACGTAATAATTTAACCATGTACATGTGTATCTAAATTATACGTCTATAAATTGTAGAAAAACTCGAGAACGGCGATGTACAAGAGGAACAGACAGAGTTGAAGGAAACTGGGAACAAAGTTAATTCAACGCATAAGAAGAAAGAGAACCGCGATTCCCATAACAAGAGTGACGGCGCGGATACGGCTCACAGCCAGAGTAGCAACCAGTCTAAGAAATCCAAGTCGAATTATGACAAGATCGCCGTTTCGCGAAGCAACCTAAAGGAATTAAAGCCTCTTGGTCGGGGTGAATTTGGTGAGATTTATGCTACCAAGTATCAGGTAGATGGTGACAAGGAATCCTTGGTTATGGTCAAAAGTCTGACAAGTACGAAAGACGAGACTGCGCTTCAGGAATTTAAACGACATCTGGATCTTGTCCATAAGCTTAATCATGAGAACGTTGTCAAGTTGATTGGTCTGTGCCGAGAGGAAGAGCCCGATTACATGATTTTGGAGTACACCGACTGGGGCGACTTGAAACAATTCTTGATCGCCTCGCGAAAGGACAACAATTCTAGCCCGACGCATGAATCGAAACCAGCACGTGCGCCTCAGCTGTCAGTGGCACAAATACTGTCGCTGTCGAATCAGGCCGCGAAGGGTCTGAAACACTTAGCCGATAACCGACTGGTCCACAAGGACATAGCCGCGCGCAATTGTTTGATCGCCAGCAACCTGACGATCAAGATCTCACTGTCGTGCATGACCAAAGAGCCATATCAGCAAGAGTACATGAAACATCGGAACCAAGTGATTCCGCTAAGATGGCTGCCCTACGAGGCTGTATACGAGGACGAATACTCGACCAAGAGTGACGTGTATTCGTTTTCATGCCTGGTCTGGGAAATGTTCCACCAGGGCGAGTTGCCGTTCAATAAACTAAACGACGAGTCTGTGCTGACTCAGCTCAAGACGCAAACGCTCACGTGGAAGCCACACAAGGCGGCGCCGCCGGCTCTACAGGAGCTGCAAGCTCAGTGCTGGGCGAACGATCCGCGCGAGAGACCGACTTTCGACGAGGTCGTGTCGAAAATAGGCGAAATTGTGGTCGACAGTTGCCTATAAAGCTGGAATCGCGACCGAATTGCGCGAGGCACTAAATATCGGAAATACTGCAATAGGGGTAATGATTGTGTGGAGCTGTACGTTGAGAGGTAAGGCTGACGAGCGCCGATGACCACGCGGCGGCGATCCCTCCCATGCGAAAAGATGGGACTCGAGGACGCCGCGGTTTCGCGCGCACGCGAGAATAATTAACCGGCTTTCATGTTAAACGCTTCGTATCGATTATATACGCATAATGAATTATAGGGAACCCTACTCTTCTGTAAAAGGAAAATGCCTACTCATTAATCATCGAATGCGCGACGACTACGTGTCATGATGACGTGGCCGCGAACCGTCATGTATAGACTTTATTACGCGGGATCCGCAACATTTTCCATTGTGCGTGTCATTTAATGCACCCCGTTGCATTATAGATACCTCCCGTAATCAAGTGAGTAGCATCTTCAATGTACGAGGAGAGTTTTAATATATTTTATATATGGAGCTCGCTTTAGAGATTCAAGTATCGTGGTATTTTCAACAATCTAGCATTTTCCTATCGTTACACACAAACATTATTTTCCGAAGTCGCGCGAGCAATCTCCACTGCGCGATTATTCAACCTTGTGTCTCGATCTCCTCCACTGCTTCCCTGTTATCAGGTAGAACGAGATAAAACCATTGGTTCCGCAATAATTATTCATATTACAGTATTTTGTCGCGCCCACTAGTTCGATAAGAAAATATTTATTTCGAATAGCATCTCCGCTCCAATGACTGTTCTTCTATCGTCGAACTAAGTAACGATCTGCATGGGCCCATTACACGTTATTACGCAATTAATGCAATACTTAGTATACAGTATCGATATAATAATAGGTATCATCACCACACATCGAATACTCGTAAGATACGTTTAATTGTTAGGTGAGCCGAGGCCCAGACACCGATAACGGAAACGTTCGACCGGATTGTTCGCGGTCTCGAGTCAACGTCGGTGACTGGGCTCGGCGCTGCAATGACATGCATATTAAGAAAGTATCGCGACCATATCAAGTGACGAAGGGAAATCTTATCTCCGCCTATTTACTTCTACGCCGCTAAGAGATATAAGGGGAGACCTTTTATAACGTATATTATTTATAAACGTATATATTTATGTGTGATAACAACGCAATCGACCACTCGTATTTGACGAAAAAGACGGCCTTGTATATATACCGTTGGTGTACGTGTAAGTTGTTTTTCTTTTAAGCGCGAAAGACTAGCGTCAATCAATCGTGTTAATTTTCATTAGTGAGATTCGAATCCCCCGAATGGCTCTTTCGAATAATTTCCTACATATTGGTATCAGAGGTGACTGGATCATGGCGCGTACGGCTGGGTGCCGGTACGCAACAAAATGTTAAGGATAAAACAGCATATACAGAATGACACTTGTAAAACCTATTTTTACACGCGGAAATTAGAGTCGGTCGCGGATCACGCCCGCGATACTTTGGCGCTCGGGATCCACGGTTCGACAAGTAGCGCGAACAATCTACTTGACGCGATGGTCCAATGAGAATGTGCTGAATATATATTTCACTCCGTATCCGATTTATACAACGAATATCAATGTTTATATTTTAACGGTATGTAAATCTTAACGCGTCGCCCCTATTTTTGCATTTTATTCTACTATAAGAGACTGTAAAGGAGAGAACTCGCGAGGCAATTGTGGCGCGCACGTTTGCTTCTTCCACTTGATGCAAGACTTCCGTTGACGCTTCATGAGCCGAATGTTCGCAGGGTACAAAGAAAAGGGAACCAGCGGTAACGGCGTTAGAAAGCTCGTAACGAGAAATATTCAGACAAGTAATATTATTCGACCGGAACCGGCAGAAATTCTCGGAGGATTAATGCGCGCATAGAGATACAAAAGCTCTGACATATCTGTTGGTTCATCAAAATATCTTCCGAGAACTTCTTCTTTTCGAGAAAAGCAATTACGAGTGAATCTTCGGCTCTGTGCATGCTAATATAAATATGATGTATCATATACGCATATTAGATATACGAAGCACCGACGTATAACACTGCCAATGATAAATGCGACTGTTCTCCAATTTAAAGCACTCTCTCGTCATACCGGAAAAAAAGCGCGAGGCAAACCGCGAAGGCACTTTGCCTGTCGAAGCACCGTCGTGCATTCGTGGACGCTCTAATTAAACATATGTAAAAGCACGAGGTGAAATAATCTTTCCAGGTATCGGATCACCCGAGCTCTCCACGAGCCAATTTTATAAATGCTTCCTAAATGTTCGCTATACACGTCAAGAAATATCCCCGTAATCAGTGATGACGAGCGTACTCGGTAGTATCCGTCGCGTACTTCTCACATTTAATTTCAACAAGATCACTCGCCGGATGCAGGGTGGATCAAAACTACGGAAAAGCTAGCGGAGATCGGTAATGTGTCCGGAGAGTGCTTTCGCAGTATGATAATTGGACAGTTTTGTCGTTCAACGGGGAGGAATCCTCGTCCAAATGAATGAATGAAGGAGTATTGAGTTGCACGCGGAAAGTACGGGGACACGTGTGAGAAAATGTGTTTAAAGTACGACTCGAATACGGCTCCGTCACTGTTTGTAACATAAACTTACGTTAGGAATATACATTACAGTGATCTCTACTCCGCAATTACGAGTATGTAACGTTAAGATGAATTATCCAAGCCCTACGTGCTCATATCATTCGCTCAGATTTTTATCGTCAACTATCATCACTGCCATAAATGAAAGCGACAGGGCACGCGCCCCGGGTCGCTGTGCCGGCGAGTTTCGTCAAGGCTAATACCTATTATGTCCGATATGTCTAGTCATATACGATGACAGAGTGAACAGCGTACGGGGGAGCTCATTGGAATGACGTTCATATCCTTAGGCGTTCCAAATCCATTTCTTTTCTTTTACAGTATTTTGTAAATATTTCTACTTTTTTATCTACATTGTACTTATCAATTTTTGGAATAGTATGTGCTACGACTAAATAAAGACGAGAAAACGAGTATATAATATGATTGTAACAACCTGTCTTGTCCCATCCTTCCACGATCAACGATAACATCAATCAAGAACGGATAGTTCAGTCTGTCTCTCCAAGTTTTAATTTTTAACTCTATCGAATGATTGTATCCGCAGTGTTTATCGCAGTACAAAAAGTTCCGGTATCACCAAAGTTTGGATTTCTTTTTATCATAGAAAACGCTTTTAAATTCAGTTAAAATAAAATTGGTCATGCAAATAAAATAATGCTGATCGAACAAGGGCCCAGAACGCCAACTTTTAGCAGAGAGAGAGAGAGAGAGACTGACTGTCACGGCCTGGTTTCACGTAATCCTCGAACGCGATATGCTCTCAATAAAAGAAAACTTGTCACTGCCCGACAAGATGCGCAGCAGCGAAGGTACATCCACTTTAATTGAGCAATGGCGCCCGATGCCTTCCGCAGGGTGTCCTCCTCTAAGGTATCCTTGTCTGGACTGTCCTTCGACGCACTCGCCAATTCGCACTCCCGTTTCTAAAAGCGATGGTCACTTATCCAAATGCCGCTGTATTCACTGTGTCCGAATTATGGTTGCACAAGCACTCATCGCAACGACGAAATTCTTTCAAGTCAGCGAGCGCTTCGATCCGCGAACCTACGGATCTCGCGCGTGAATCGCGCTAGAAATCCGTCTCGCCGGCTGACCCGAGCATCGACGGCAAATCGCGGGGATTGAGCGATCACGCGACGACATCGGTCGCCAATTATTCGCCGCGAGCGATCGCGATTTCGTTCCGAACTTGTCGCGAACGCGTAACACGAAAGACTAATACGGTACGCGGAGCGGGGCACGCGGGGCACAACCGACTCGTCTGACTGTCGTCACACAACTAACTACGTACGGCGTGATCTATGTTTTTTTGCCGGGCGCCGAATATCGATCGCGAATTCCAAGAAATGACGTAGCACTAGACCGAACGTTGTAAACAACTCGGCAAAAACGCCGAGCGTTGGTTCAATGAATGACGTAGACACCTCCCGTGACCGTGAACACCTCTCTTGGTCGAAAACAGTCTATCGTATCAGTCGAGCGATGTCCCGCGAGTACTTCACGTCGCTCCTCGTGACGCGATTAGTTTCTAGAAGGTTCTCGACCGTGTGCGACGCAACGCGATCGTCTCCTAACAAAAGTTATTAACGTTTGTCAATTCGCGCCAAGTTAGTGTCGCGATCCGTAGTCTTATCGTTCGGTGATTCGTCGAGATCAGTCGAGCGATGTCCCGCGCGTACTTCACGTCGCTCCTCGTGACGCGATTAGTTTCTAGAAGGTTCTCGACCGTTCGCGACGCAACGCGATCGTCTCCCGACGAAAGTTATTAACGTTTGTCAATTCGCGCCAAATTAGTGTCGCGGATCCGTACAGTCTTATCGTTCGGTGATTCG